CGGTGAAACTGGTCGACTGGAGACCTGTGAGATATGGTTGATTGTTGATTCAAATGCCTGACACTCTGCTTCTGCCTCTGCTGCTTCCCTTTTGAGATTTATCATTTCTAGTTCTGCTTCAAGTTCCATTTGTTGTTTGCGTAATGTCATTTCTTTAGCTGCATACAACATCCTGGCTTTCGCTTTACCTACTTCAGCCCTCTTCTTAACAAGAATGTCTGAAGTTAAAACACTGGATGAAGAATGTACACTTAGATGCTCACTTTCTGTGTTCTCCTCTTCATATCCTCGATAATCTAGAAAATCATCCCCCTTTTCACTGTTGCTGGATGTAGATTTCTTTTCAGTGTTTCTTGTGTCTGTAACAGAATCTGGTATTGACATAGTTTTGGCGTGCTGAATGTCCAAAGTTGAATCTGGAACAGATGACGACTTGACCTGCTCAGTGTCCACAGTAGAATCTGGAATGGACAATGACTTAACCTGCTGAGAGTCCATAGAGGAGTCTGGAATGAACGCTGTTTTGGCTTGTTGAGTGGAGTCTGGACTTCTTGTCCCGGTCTGTACTGCTGTAGTAGACATGGTCTTTTTACTATTCTGCCACAATAAAAAGTCTCTCAGTTTCTTTAGAAAGTTTTATTTGACAGGTAGTTAACCCTCACTTGCATGTGCAAGTGCGCATGTGAACGTGCGTCTGGTAAAAAGCTACAATAAAACAAAACCAAAGTAAGTAATGACAGGTACTGCTTTCCATAGAAAAATTTCTCAAAACTGGATTCACATAATGTGAACAAATTACACAGACAAGTAATATCTCTAGTAAATCATAAACTAACTATACTCTGATCAACTGTATCAAATTCCATGTATAAAATATATTTTTAAGAGAAATACAGACTTAATTACTATCGACTATAAATAATGACAAGAATAGCACGCCATACTTTAAGCACATGGCACAAACATTATCTAAAATTATGCAGAATTGTAACAATTAGCAAAGCTGACATTGGAGATATAGGTGAGCGATAACATAATCTGAAGAATAAACAATGTGTTAAAACTTAAACTACTTACACCGTGGATTATGAACATTCAACCGGGAGTAAAAACTCGCCGTGACAGTATGGCGGCACAAACACCGAAAATTAACTTGTACTTAAACACATTCAATAAAAATTCGTATTGCACTCAGTCTAACTGACGTAATAGTACAACATAAATTCTAAAGACATGAAAATATTAAAAAATAGACAGAACAGGTAGTACCTATTAATTATCGATTATTAATCGATTACATTTTTCAGTAATCGTGCCCATCCCTGATAGGTACAAGTAAAGATGTTTTTGTATCAACTTATTTAATTGATATTATTTACAGCTATAGAGGTTTTGATTCAATATGTTTTGGACAAATCCAGACATCTAAGATCTTCGAATTTCGATGACACCCGAATTTTTTCGCTATGAGGATGTGGCCACTCATGAGTCTGCGGACTCCTTGAAAAAAAACCTTGCGTTCCAAATAATTTTGCTGTGTCCAGTACACAGGTTCTTACGTTGATGAGAACCCTGTCAGACATACGCACCACTTATCATAATTGCAAATACAAAATATCTGAATGAATATTGAAAAAAATATTTTGCGATTGTAATTTTTGCAGATTTGTCCTATCCGCAAAATTCCGCAAAAATTGGACAACGGCAGAAAATACCCGTTATACGGTATATAGTGAAAACGCATTAATTGTTTAAAAATCTTGTTCTCTGCTCCTGGGTATTAAATAACTACTTAAGTACATAGTTATGATGACCAAGAGTGCCTCTTCCAAAATTGTGAATTTCATGGCCCCAGGGTCAGTGGTTCTGGTGTTGAACGGGGCTCTATTGATTATATAGTGAAAATACATCAATTCTTTGAAAATCTTCTCTGCTACTGTGTATTAAATGAACTAACTAAGAACATAGTTATGATGAGCATGGCTGCCTTTTCAACAATTGTGAATTTCATAGCCCCTGGGTCAGGGGTTCTGGTGATAGGGCGGGGCTCTTGATTATATAGTAAAATTGCATTAATTCTTTGAAAATCTTATTCTCTGCTCCTGGTTATTAAATAAACTAACTTAGTGCATAGTTATGATGAGCATGGTTGCCTCCTCAGAAATTGTGAATTTCATGGCCCCTGGGTCAGGGGTTCTGGTGTTAGGGCTGGGCTCTGTTGATTATATGGTGAAAATGCATTAATTTTCTGAAAATCTTCTTCTCTGCTCCTGGATATTAAATTAACTAAGTACATAGTTATGATGGGCAAGAGTGCCTCTTCCAAAATTATGAATTTCATGGCCCCAGGGTCAGTGGTTCTGGTATTGAACAGGGCTCTATTGATTATATAGTAAAATTGCATAAATTCTTTGAAAATCTTCTTCTCTGCTTCTGGGTATTAAATAAACTAACTTAGTGCATAGTTATGATGAGCATGGCTGCCTCCTCAGAAATTGTGAATTTCAGGGCCCCTGGGTCACGGTTTCTGGTGGTAGAGCGGGGCTCTATTGATTATATAGTGAAAATGCATAAACCCTTCCAAAAATCTTCTTCTCTGCTCCTGGGTATTTTTCAAATGGAAGAGCATGGTTATGATATGGAAGAATGCCTCTTCCAAAATCCTGAAATTCATGGCCCTTTGGGTCAGGGGTTCTGGTGAAGGGGGGGGGGCTCTATTGATTATATAGTGAAAATGCATAATTTCTTTCAAAATATTTTTTTCTACTACTGGTTATAAAGCAAAGAAACAAGTGTATAGTTATGATAAGCAAGGGTGTTTCTTCCAGAATTGTGAGTTCATGGCCAATGAGTCAGATGTTCTGGTGTAAGGATGGGGCTTTATTTATTTAATAATATAGTGAAAATGCTTTTCTTTGAAAATCTTCTATGCTTCAGGGCATATTCGAGGCAAACAGAGTAAAAGTTTTAATATGCAAGGGTATTTTTACCAGAATTTTGAACACCTGGACCATTTAGTCAAGTCCTGGCCAGGGCTCTATTAACTTGTATTCTGCTGAGCAAAGTTATTCCCCTTTGCCATTCACCTTTGATAATTAATCACAGTAAATAATGTACTTGAAAGGTTAATTGAATAAGAGAATTATGCAAGAATATTTATTGTATAATACAAAAAGTACTTTCCTAGTTTTAATGATCAGGTAGACTTGGAAATAATAGATGAATAAAAATGAAACAAAATAACTTATCTTTTTAAATGTTCTTCAAAGGCCAAGAGAGGCCAATGTGAGAAGTAATAATATGGGGTTAAAAAATAGACGTTTTGTTAATAGCCTGCATGGTAATAGTGAGAAATGGGGGACAGATAGATACTAGACCAATTATTTTGTTCATGCTAATCATACTATTTTACGTGCTTTTGGGCAACAAAGCTTCAATTATCAGTTTATGGATCCTCTAAATTGTTGTATTGTACTCAGGTGACCGTTAAGGCCCTTCTTTGGGCCTCTTGTTAAACATTGCTAATACATTCTTAATATATTTTATGTAGGCATTATTTACAATATTAAATTCGATGACCGCCATTTTCATATTTCTTGTCGAGGGATAAGCTAAAGCATGCAAACAACTATTTCATGAAATAGGGAGCAATTGAAATTAATCATATTTTCATGCTATAATTTGGCCTGTAATATTGTTGTAAAAATAAATTTAATTAAGAGTACATTTGCAATTTAACAGTCATCATGAATTTCACAGCTTCGTATGTTCAATGATGTTTAGCACTAATAACCCTATTACTGCGCGTGCTGTTAATCATACCCCGCAGGGGTTGTACACAGTGTATATCCCTTTATCTGTCAGAAAATTAAAATTCTAACAGAAGCCAATCTTTGAATAATTCAGTGTACCTACTGGGTAGGAGGAAGATAAGTGCATTTTATTATGAAATATATTTATGATTAGCGGTATATTTGATAAATAAATTTGGAAATTACTGGCAACAATTTATTTCACGCATTTTACATTTAAAAAATATCATAAGACAGTGAAAAAATATTTAGGTAGACTATTTCAATTCATTGTTACAAATAAATGGTAAAAAAAAGATGACGATTATTTTCGCAATTGCAATTGTTAAAATTTCTCCGTATTTTAAATTTTGATAGGGTTGTAGTTTTATTTTTAGTGAACGAGTGTGACTTCCAAATTCACAAGATGGAGACTGATAGCATGTTGTAAAATATACTTTGATGAAACATTATTTACGAGATTATTAGATAATTTTTTTTGGTACATTGATGGATATTTAATAGAACTAATTTGCAAGAAATCAATGGAATATACGTTTAAGATTCTTAATTGTGAATTATTTTTTCTTGGTAAAATAATTTAAAAATTTATGAAAATTGTTCAGATTTGTTTTAAAATTGATGTAAATTTTACGGATTTTGGGTCATTTTTTGTAAACTTGAGTCTTAGAAAGGTTGATTCTTTAAATAGGGTGACCCCAACGGTTCTGAGAAAAAAAAGTATCAACCTATCTTCTATAAATTATGGTAATAGGTCACTGTGACCTACTTTTTGAATTTCCTGTCTATATCTGAATATTTTAGATAATAAGAGGCTTAAAATCATCACAATTTGTCAAGTGCTGCATTTTTGGCTCACACTTTGTGTTAATTAAAAAAGTATGTCATGGTGAACTACTTTTGGAATTTAATATTTAGGATACAAAGAAGCTTAATTAAAATAGAAGGGTTGTACAATTTATCACAAGAACGATTCTAGGCCCTTGGGCCTCTTGTTTTATGTGAGTACAGAAATGAAATGTAACTTTCAGAGTTAGATGATGTTTTCATACTTTAAATACCTATAACTTGTTTGTATCAGTTACACTTGTATCTGATTTAGTTGATATCACAATGTTGGTTATTATGAGAGTTCTGCTGCGTTATTTTGTATTATATTTCTATTGATGTCCATTTATTCTAAAATAGGGAGCCTGGGTGTATTCATTGTTCCTTATGTCCAGCTGGTACATTTGGGAATGACTCTATAGGTCTGGTGGAATGTCCAGCCTGTCATCCAGGTAACATTGTGAATGTGAAAAGAGCTAGGGGCTCCAATGGCAAAAATCGGCTCCATCTCAATATTTCAATATATGATCTACCTAGCCCTAATAATATGATCCATCTAGCTAACCCTAATAAAAATATACTTAAAATATTTGACCAACTTAGCCAGAACCCTGGAATCTACTCCTTCCCAATTCCAAGCCCTCTAATCCGCTATTTTCTAATCCACTCCACATAAATCGTGGAGCGGAGCGGATGAGAAACCCCTGACTTGGATAGATGGTTTATGTGGATTAGAGCAAATCAGAAATTCCAGGAATAGAGAAGATTTTCATAAATATATTAGCAATATATAACCAATTGATTAAGGATTTTCATGTCAATTTGTAAACTACTGAAGGGTAAAGGAATATTTAATGAGATTCTTTCTGTAAGTTTTAAATGAATTACAGCACTGTATACAAACCGTTATAGTATTGCAAGTGTAACGACGAAAAGTGACCCCCATAGAATATTGACTGGGGATCATTTTTCTACGTAGAAATGTGACCCACTGGTCAATATTCTGCGTGGAAAAATGACCCACTTTTTTGTAGAAATTGTTAATTAAACTCCATGTGGGTTGTAGAAAAATGACCTCCCATAGAATAATGACCCTGTGTCTTTTTTTTTTGATACAAAAATATGGTTTTGGTTGGAATATTCTTACATTAACAATAGTATAATTAATATATCCCTAATATATTCGTTTACCTTAGATTTTAAACATATCAGATATGATAAAAAGAACTTTATCCACAATGGATAATCGACGTACCCAATACAAAGGAGTCGGGTTGTGATGGTCACTATGCTCATTCTCCGAAAAGCTATCCTAATCCATCAATCCTATTGCAGAGATTTGGCCATTTGTGAAATCCAGAGAAAAATTTAAAGAGGATCATTACAATTATACATAGAAACTATGCATTTTTTACTCATATATTAGTTTCTCTTTCTGACACCTGCTAAGTAAATAATCTATTTTTTTTTAAATGACGACTGTAGAAACTTATTTTATAAAATGTGATAAAACAAATCTAAGAACACCCGTGTTCTTGCTCTTATAGTCATTTAACATCATGATAGCCTAGTTATTTATTTTCCTTTAATGGGGAATAAAACATCTTGTATTATTGAGGTAAGGTATAGTATAACCTTTTGTTATTATAAGGTATTGGCAATATTATTCTAAAAATAACTTTCATGGTTGCCATGGTAACAAAGTGTAACCATGCAAAATCTGTTGCTAGGATTGGGTTAATGCTACTTTCTGGAGGAAAAACAATAAAATTAAAGACTGGCACATATGCATCCTTAGGACCTTGCAACACCGACAACATAAAAAAAATTGGGATAAATTGTTACTTTGCAGTGTAACCATGGAGAAATCGTACCAGTTGTTTAAAGTGATATTGTTTTGCTGCTGTAGGAATTTATTTACAGACCCTAAAACATGCTACTACACCACTTGCACGGTTGGGTTCGCTTTGTGTACGGTACGGTACGCTTCTTGCACGGAATGGTACGCTTTGTGAACGGTACGGTTCGCTTTGTGCACGGTACAGTACGCTTCTTGCACAGAACGGTTCGTTTTGTGTACGGTACGGTTCGCTTTGTGCAGGGTACGGTACGCTTCTTGCAAGGAACGGTTCGTTTTGTGAACGGTACGCTTTGGTGAACGGTATGTATATTAAGTGGGCGGAACCTGTTTGCTTTAGTTTATGATTGGCTACTTCATAAAGTCGTTTATTTCTTCATTATAATCTCTTTATTTTATATAAATGGAAGGACGGTATCGCAAGCATTTTTAATAAGTTGTTTTTAAGTTAAAGCTGTTATAAATATTTCCATTTTACAGCTGTATTTTCGTTATTACATGTAACTTGCCGTCTAATTAACTGTATCTTTTTTAATTTACTTTCTGTATGAACTACTTTCAATTTTTAAAATAAAATAATTTTAGCTGTCTATTTATTATCATTTTGTACACCATTGCCTTATGGTTCAATAACTTTGAAATAAATTGAACATATCAACAAACACTGCATAACAACGATGAAAAAATATATTATGGTTGTGTTGCCATAAAGGCCTTTCTGTAATTTTTTTTTTAAAGAATAAGCATACATATGGGTTTTTTTTTCTTTTAATTTTCCTAATTGAATACAATTATTAGTTTAACTAGAAGCTCATTGCGAGCAATGAGAGGTCTTCCGTCCGATTTTGAAAATAAAAATGTAAATTCAAGCTGAAAAAGTGAAAAAAAAAAATTTAGACACTCTGGAGATTTAACCCTGGTCATCAGCATGAAAATCCAATGTGCTAACCATTACGCCATTTCAACTCCCGCTTCAAAGTGAAAATGACGAACATATCAAGAGTTTGGATTCATCAATTCAAAAACAAATTATATATTTATTATTTTGAAAAGAGGCTCTCTTAACCTTGCAAATATTACAGAAAAATATTGAAGTTGAAAAAATCGATTTTTTTTTTAAAAATTCGCTTCCGGAAGCGACCGGAACTAACGACGACGCATGAAAAGGTCCCTACGCCAGTCTAGAAGCTGTCATGTTCTATCATCTCTAACAAAAAAAACCCCACTCGACATCATTTATAAAGTTGAAAAAGTGAATTTAAGCAAACAAATTCGGGATTAAACCCAGATCGCCTTCGTGAAAATTCAATATGGAAGCCACTACACCAGCGCAAGTTTACCAGCCATCATCGATGTTTACTTTGTATCATTGCCTGAAGTAACAAACGTCAGGGAGGTAAAAGTTTTTTTTATATAGTGCGGAATTATAGAATGAGAGCTAGCTAGTTAAATTTTGTGCAAGCAGATTCACATCGGAATTCGTTACTTGAGTTTAAACAATAACAAATAATCTATTACTGATGAACTGATGATACTGATTATTTCGTTTATTCTTTGTGTATTCAACTTTTTATTCCATGCCATTCCATATACCTGTATTTCATACAAACGTGTCCATGTAATCTTTTCTGCACTTCTGCATCAGACCTTTTTTTTCTACTATGAAAGAAGAGTCAGAATACATTACGTCACGAGTAAATCTTCGCGCCTTTTTTTTGAAATGTATGTTCTATTGAATGGTCTCCATTCTCATGTATATTACTGTATGTATGGTACAAATTACTCATTTTATTGCATTTGGAGGTCAGAGTATTTATGTTTTCAAAGACAGATTATCCATTTCATAATCTGAAAGATCCAACAATTCCTTCATATTTCATTGATCCTTACGGTAGTTTTGTTCAACAAGACGCTCGTCTGTCTCCATAAACTCCAACCTGCTAATTGGCAATCCTCGACTGACTCCGCTACACTCCATACAAACCTGGGAAGTGATTGGTGGAGAAATATGCATCAAATCGATTACATTTCTCCACCAGAAAATGTCTTGCAAATCATTTCATATTTTACTCTGCATAAAGTTCTTCAAACATTTTTTTCACTTGTCTAATTCTTCCTTGGATTATTGGTTTTGATCACAACATCATATAAGTACTCTTTGAAAGCAAAACATAGTGTTGGGCGTGCTTCAAAGTAACTCAGACTTCAAGGTATAACATTTGGAGGAATTTCAAATAAGATCACATGACTGTATCAGCAACATGGTAAAACACTATTGACGTCTGAGGTTAGTGTGCGAGGAAGGAGCCACCCGAGGAGCTCCGAGTGCCGACCTACTAGTCGGAGTTTGAGAAGACAGCCGCCATTTTGGACCCGCTTCAAATTTTAAAATGCGAATATCTAGAGTTTAGATTTATCAATTTGAAAACAAATTATATATTAAGCATTTTCAGAAGTGCCTCTATTAACACTACTACTATCGAAGAAAAATATTGAAAATCAAAAAAGTTTTAAAAAATCAACTTTTTAAATTCGCATCTGGTAACGACCGGAAGTAATGATGACGAACAAAAAGTCACGTCCCGGCTAGTATTTATCACGATCTATAATCCCTGAAAGTTTCACATTGATATCTTTTACTGTTCTTGAGATTATCCGTGGACAAAAATTCAGAAAATGGCCCGTAACTTGGCACTGGAAAGGAAGTTCCAAAAACTCTCTTGGATAAAATAACTTCAGATTACAACACATTGTTTCTGCAAATTTCATTAAAATCCATTCAGTAGTCTTCGAGAAATCGCGTGCACAAAATTAGATGGTCAGAAAAATAATAATAACTAGAAACTCATTGCGAGCAATGAGAGGTATTCCGTCCGATTATGAAAATAAAAACGAAAATTCGAGCTTAAATAGTGATTAAAGAAATTCAGACATCCTGGAGATTTACCCCTGGTCATGAGCGTGAAAATCCAACGTGCTAACCATTAACCATTCACTTTTTTGGATCACTTCCTGTCACGACCGGAAGTAACGGCAACACACAATTTTCATACGATGCAAATAAACTGATGACGGACTATCAGTCCTGAAAGTTTCAGACTTCAGTCATTTATTGTTGCCGAGCAATTGTGAGAACATATTCTAATATTGAGGACAGGAAAACACGCGACTGGAAGTGAATTTTATAAAAAATCTCTAACGTGTCTCTAGACATTTGCAGTATTTACAACATGTATTAAAACATTTCAATTCTTTTTCTATAAGCGATATTTATGAGAAAGTTAAATATCGAAATAATGTACTTTATCTCCTAAAACCGGAAGTTGACGTTTTTGTTTCTAAAGGAGTCTAACATATTTCAAAACAGCGAAAAAGATGCAATAAGGAGATGCAAGTTTTAATTTAAACAAGAAAAGTTGAATTTTTTTATTTCTTTGATCACTTCCTGTGATGACGGGAAGTGACGGATGACATTTTAACCCAAATGATTTGGCCTACTCTTCAAGGTCTATTACTCATATAAGTTTGTTGTCTTAATCTCTTGCCGTTTCTGAGATCTCGCTCAGATATTATCTCACTTTGAGGACAGAAAAA